AGATTAGATGGCATTAGTTTCACCTGCCTTTTCCTCATTCATGAAGAGAAAATAAAAGGCATTCTCTTAATAACCTGCAATGTACAGAAAGCAAACTAAAGGCAAAATATAATTCTCTAATCTCGCCATTTTACATTCTTCTAAAAATGTTTACTGGAGAGATAGATAAGGGACTAAGTACAAATATGCAAGTGTAAATACTTCCTCCATTTTAACTCCTATAGTAATAGCACACTTTGATAAAATACAACGGACACAATTATATATCTCAATCCAAAGCAACAGATTAAATTACTTACACACACACACAGAAAACTGCTATGAGTTTTATGTTCTATTTTTTTTTTTTTTGAGTTTTATGTTCTATATAACAAGGAATACTCAAAACTTTTAAGATTTCAAAAGAAATAATTTACAACTTAAATTTTTACCCTTTGGAAGGCCTAGAGGTACACAAGTTCTAACTGCAGTTCAAATACGAAATAACGAAGAAACTATGATCCAAAAAGATTCAGGTACCTAAATACAGGTTGCATTATGTGAAGTTAAAATAACAGCAGCGAGCTCCTACAGTTGGCTAGTCAAACGCCGGTTCGGAATGGGCTCCGGTTGGAGTCTGGCACCACCTGGTGGCAGCTGTCTGTTCTAGTGTGAAGATGCCTGGGCTCAACTAGTCCTGTAGCTGGGGTCTCCAAGGAGTGCCAGTCCCAGGAATCTACCAGGCAGGCATCTGTCTTATTGTGGATATGGAGCCAGAACAAGCCTGGAGACAAGGAAATCTGCTTTCCGCTCTCCTGCTTCCAGAAAAGGCTCTTGGCTGTTTTCCCACACAGCTTGATCAACCTACCTCTATTAAACAATCTGGAGAAGGACGAATATATTTAAATTTATTTTACAGTAGGATGCATTTCAAAGGTCCCCCCCCTTCTTGAACAAGTAAAAATGAGAAAATTCTCAAAATGATTACATAGCAAAGTTTATGTTGCTATACGGATATTTAAAGAATAATCATACATTTTACCAAATAATCCCATAAATTTGTTAGATCAGTCAACAAAGGTCTATAAAATCCATAACTGAACTGAACCTCGAACTAACAGTACTAATCTGTAACAGAGAAACAGTGTTACCTATGCCAGAGGTCTCTTTCATGACCAGATCTTTCTCCTGATGATTGCAGAGTCTTATATAGACATATTTTCTATTTGGATACCCCATAGACACTGCAATAGAACTAAACTAAATTTCTCATGCTTTCCTATTAAAGCCTTGTATTTTGAGGCTGAGGCAGGGGGATCTCTGAGCTCAGCATGGGCAACTTAGTAACTGAGACCCTGTTTAAGTATTAAAATAGGGGAATAGGGATGCAGCTCAGTGCAAAGACCCTGGGCTCAATCCTCAGTGCCTCTGCAACAACATCACTAAAACCATAATCACCATCCATGTGGCTGTCGAACCAAAACCTGGCACCTTTAACTTCTTGCCCCCTCCTCCATCCCACTTAGTCTTTGCCTCATGCTGGGTCTGTCTCCTAAACACTTTTTACATCTGGCCCATTTCCTTCTGTCTCTGCTACTGCAAATGCAGTTCCATCATCATGTTCAAAGGACACAACCCCTGAAAGCGGCCCCTTTGTTTATAGCCTCTGTCCTTCCAACCTATCTTCTACACTGCAGTGACCTTTTAATATAAAACCAGCTTGTTACCTTTCCTTCCCAGAAACTCTTTCATATGTTCCCCACAGGTCTTGCACAGTGGTCCACATGCATTCTTTGGTCTTCTGCTCCCCTGTTCTGTTTCATCTCTCATAATTCCCTGCCTCTCAGTCTATGCTTTGGCCGTAATAAATTATTGTTTGTTAAAAAAGTTCCACTTGTCTTGCCCCCACATTTTGATATATGTTATACATTCATTCCTCAAGTCCCTTTCCTTCCCTAACTCTAGCTTCACTCTTGGTCATTATGCAGGGCTCAGCATGGCCATTTCTTCCCCCGTGAAGTCTTCCCTGAGTCCTTCAGTCCTGGATAAATAGGTGACTTCATCCTTTGCATCCAGTCATTTTCTCTGTTACCATCATACTTATACTTGTCTCTCTACTTATTTCTGTGCCCTATTCAACTATCAGCTTTGTGAAAGAAAAGTTCACCACTTATCTATGGCATTTAGCTTGTAAGCTGGTATATGTAGGTCTTAATAAATACTTGCTAAATAAATGAATTTGCTACTCTGGGAAATGCATGAGTTTGAAGCCAAAGTTTTCTAACATAAAGCTCAGCATATAATAGGAGTACAACTCTTATTTTGGTCTGCATTTTGAACCCTTAGAGCAAGTGAGCACTGCATGCTGTATAGTACAGGGCTGGGACCAGAAGAATGTCTTTGGAATTCTTTAATCTCTGTATCTGTCTCTCTTGAATCTCCTGCTGCCTAAAACATATACATTCATAAAAACACACTTGTTATGAAAATGAAGAGACAGCTAAGTGCAACAGCAAAGGAATTCTAAAATTACAAGGTGAGGATAATAAGCCACATATATGCTTCCATGTATATATGATGATAATGTAATATGAAAAACAGCTATATTGTGCAGACACTTATTATAACACAGATGATAAAAGTTTAAAGAAAAGCAAAGTTATGAGCATAAATGTCAGAACAGTAGTTATTTCTTAGAGAAGGAAGCAGTTAAGCAAGATCTCAAGGGCATTTCTGTAGTGCGTATTTTCTACTTTCAGTTTTGATGGTGATTAAATAGTATTTAATTAAAAAATTTTTCTTTTTTCTTTTGGTACTGGGGAACAAACTCAGGACCTCGCACTTGCCAGACAGGTACTGTGCCACTGAACTACATCCCCAGCCCTAAAATTATTACAGGTACACTTAAAAAAATTTTTTTCTGAACATCTGTTAGCATTATATCTGTTATTTTTACATACACACCTTTGTATGCAAACATACACAAGGTCAAAAATGAAAATATTCATGAAATAGTAATTGTTTGTTTGTTTTTTGAGATAAGGCATTCCTATGTAGTTCAGGCTGGCCCTGAACTCACTATGTAGCTGAGGCTGGTGTCAAACTCGTGGCAATCTTCCTGTCTCAGCCTCCCGAGTGATAGGATTACAGGCATGCAGTACCATGCCTAGCTCATACTAAACTAAAAATAATGTTATTTACATAGTGGTACAACATTTCTTTGCACTGCTTGAAAAATATCCTTTTAGGATTCAAGATATGAAGGAGGATTTCAAAGGCCTTGATCACAGAAAAGATTATGGTGCTCCTCTTGTAATTCAAATGTCAAATACTAAGGCAGACTAAGTGTAAGGATAGTCAAAAGTGTTTTTATTTTTCCTAAGGTGGAAAACTTTAAAAAAATAATTAGTGTACTATGTCAATTTTCCCCCTAAAACATGAATTTGCCACTGCCCACAGTATATATTTAGTCTACAATCAATGATCACTTCGAATTTTTACAGTCCTAAATTATGACTGTAATTATCTCACAGACTAAGAAAAGAATAAAAGAGGCAGAAGAGAATAAATATTTGATGAATGTTATAATGAATGATTTCCTTTTTGTTCAGTTTAAAGTTTATATTAATTTCCTTGGGCATATACTTGTATGCACATCTTTATGAAAAGATCAAACAGATAAAAATCTATGCATGCTAGATTTATGAGGAAAATAATGATCTGATATTTCACTTACAAACACCATGTGATATGAAGCAAATATTACAATAGTTGTTATAAATTGTACATCTGCTCTCTTATCAACATAAATAATATTTTCACAAAAGAAACCTGAGAGCAAATCATACTACTCAAAAAGACAGCAGGATTATCTTAAAAATCTCTCCCAACTTGCTGTATTAAAACAATTTAACAGTAATTTTAAAAAATCTTGAACAATTTACTACTCAAAGGATAATTCTATAAATGCAATTTTTACAATACAGGCCATATTATGAATACAATATCAAAAGAACAAATTATCTGCTACTGTCCTTCTAATAGGAATGAAGCGTTACAATGCTAAATAAGATTACAATATATAAGTCAGATTTAAAGTCTTGCTGTCAACAATGAAAATTTCATACACTCAAATGAATGTTAGTGAAGTAGTATGACAAGTCAATTTCAGAATAATTGTCCCATTCAAATGCCATATTCCTGTATGGCAAACTTTCAAAGCCACATTATTTCCAAAAGCCATATTACTGTAAGGTTAGTAAAGGGCACTAACTGCCACTGAAATAACTAGCACTGTTTTTCCTTAGTGCTGCCAATCTCGACCTAGGCAAACTGCATATACATTGGTCCGAGAAAAACTTCATGAATAAAATATTTCTTCAATATTACCAAACAGGGGCTGGGGATTTATCTCAGTGGTTCCGGCGCCTGCCTCGCAAGCCCAAGGTCCCAAGTTTGATTCCTGGTACCCCCCCAACAAAAAAATTACCTAACAAACATCTTCCAGAATTAGAAGCTAAATGAGGTATATGTAATATTTCATATTACTATTCCAGATGTTTTAAGTTTTCAGGAGAAATTGATAGTGTGTTACAAGAAAAGCTACTGTGTCACCTAGCATATACCCTAATTTCTTTTTTTACCTTGTCCTCACTCTGATCTGACCTAAAGGCAAAAATACATTATCAGAGTAAAATAGAGACCATGGCAATACTGGAGTAAAAAGGTCTAAAGTCTCATAAACACTGTTCTAAGTTATCTATCAAAGATTTAGAATTTTTTTGTGGGGGGGTACCGGGGATCAAACTCTAGTTCTTGAGCTTGCGCAGCAGGTGGTGAAACCACTGAGCTAAATCCCCGGCCCTCAAAGATTTAGAATTGTAATGTTCACATTTTATTTATACTTAGAGCATTAGCTCAGAGAAATGATACTTAATTTCACAAAACTCCTATAACTTCCAAGCAAAGAGAAATAAAATATTACACAGTCTCTCTCTCTCTCTCTCTTTTTTTTTTTTTACCTGTTTTCTCTTTCATACATTTCCCTGGAGGCACTTCGAAGCTGATCAATTTCTTGATTAGTTTTCAACTTGATTTGTTCCAGTTCATCATGTAGTTTATTTTCATATTCTGTCTTATAATGGTCTCTGCAAGGAATATCCATGAATTTCTTTTGTGAAACAAATAGGCTTTTGTACTCCATGTAAGATTTTAATATTTCATATCAAACATGCTCTATATACTATATGTGGAGAACTTAATTTCAGATATAAAGTTTTAGCGCTTGCTTTGGCAGCACATATACTAAAGCTTTAGAACTTCTAAAAGTTACTGCTTCAAACTAGGCCCAACTGCCAAACACAGTACTCCAAAGGATTAACTATTATATAAGGTGTTAGTAGGTCATGTTGGATACTCATCTTCAAAAATATCTTAGTAATAGTTTTTAATGCATATGGCTGAGTTTGAAAACTGATACATACATAATGCCTTTCAATTAAAAATAATAGTCTGGTGCAGTTCATGTACAGACATAAATAATATTAACAAAAGCATAAAAACAAAATCACTCTGACTTTACAATAATGCTTCCTTTCAAGCACAACAGCAGCTATATTAGCAAGTATAACACACACTGATGAAAAAATACTACGGACAGAGAAAAAGTTATGAACATATACACTATTAAAGGGTAAAACTGCAATTTTGTTTTAGCTTTTTTTGTGGTAGTTGTTTTTGACAGAGTTTCACTATGTGGTCCTAGCTGGCTCAAATTCATGATTCTCCTGCCTCAGCCTCTCGTTTCAGCTTTTGATGGGCTGATTAAAATAAGTAACTTAGGGATCCTAGGTCTTATTAACATAAAGGAATTCTAGTAGCTTACACTCATCTAGAAGGAGAGAAAATACAAGAATTGAAAACAATATGCAATAGTGTCTCATTCTTTTATGTTTCAGAGTCAGGAAATCATCAGCATACTCAGTTTTATTCAAAATAATGTATCTACAGAGACATATGCCTCTTTTCCAAAATCACTCATATTTGTTATAAGGAACTAAAAAGATTGTGCCTAAAAGAAATAGGCTTTTGATGTTATTAGGAAAAGCAAACTGTCTTAAATAGACTAGAAAAGAATATAAGGAAATAAAATGAAGTATTATCACACTATCATCCTATGTATACCTTAAAAAATCATCTTCCCCCAAGCCAACAGTCCTCTCAAAAAATGTTAATTTCGATATGTTAATGTAGAAAACACTGTAAATCTTGCCTGGATGTTACATATTTCTCATACATCTCTTCCCTGGCCTTCTTGGTTTCCTCCAGTTGAAGCTGAAGCCTTTCGAGGCGATCCTCCTCGTGGGCTCGGCGCACACTGAGCTCTGTGTTCTGGCGACTGAGGTATTCTTTATCCTTCTGCAGCAGAGTGACAGTCTGCTGTAAGGTAACTACCTGCAGGTGAACATAGACACTGTCAGAGGAACGCCACCTTCCTCTCCACGGCCGCCTGTTAACTCCTTGCATCACACTTGCGGTCGTCACATAAAAACTTCTCTTCGTGAGGGCAAACTAAACCCTACCTTGCAATTGTCTACCAAAAAAGAACTACTCAAAGTCTCTTTTTCCTAGCAACTACATCAAAAAGGCAAAATGTCCTTCCCATTATTTTGCCCTGGACTATTTTCCATTAATATTATACCATAAAATATAAGTGATTCTATTTATAAGCTTACCTCTTTCGATAATTCACTTCTCTCTTTAGCTTGAGTTAGATGAGTGGCTTCAAGTATTTCATGTTTTCTCCTAAGCTCAAGTACTTCTTGTTCAAGTGCATCACGTTCACTATTAAAGTAACATTCAAATACATGTGTAAATTTTACATCTTCTTTTAAAGTGAGCATTTTAAAAGGGTTGACCATGTATCAGGAAATTGAATAGATACTAGGCAGAGGAGAGTTTATGTCATTTTATGAACTGTGAAGTATCTACTCTTCAAATTTAGAAGGGACTTGTTCAAGACCTTGATCAGATAATTAAGGATCCATTTAATACCTTCAAAAAATAAATATAGCCAGGTGTGGTGGTAGATACCTGTGATCCTATCACTCTGGGAGGCTGAGGCAGAAGGATCAAATTTGAGCCCAGTATGGGCAACTTAGCAACTTGGTAAGACCTGCTTTCAAAATAAAAAATTAAAAAAGGCTGGGGAAGTGGCTCAGTATAACGTGGAATCCTTTTAGTAGCACCAAATGGAAAAAAAAAAAAAAGTAACCTACACACTGGTTAGGTTACCTAACCAATAACGTAAAAAGGTACATAATAAACTTTCTAGGGTACACTATTATTTTTTCACTAAATTCTTTAAAAAATTTATACATAGCTCAGTTCAGTTAGAGTCAAAAACCCCTCACAACTTAGCACTTACTGCACTGCACAGCAGATGCCTATGCTCAGATATTTTTGATTTCCATTTTCAGACCAGCTTAACTTCTAAATAGTATTTCTTACTGAAATAAACCAGAACTCCTTAGAAAAAGAGCTGAGGCAATTAAATTATAAAATAAAACTAAACTTTGTTATGCCAGAAGGTAAGGAATTGCTAAGAAAAAAAAGAAGCATTCAGATGTAATTTAATGATTTTAACTGGCATATTTTAGAATTATACTGTAAAAAACCCTGCAATTTACTTTTTATTCTGCTATTCAAAAGCATCTGAATTCTTTCTAATAATGATGCACTTAACATCCACAGAGTTGTTTCTTTTTGCATATGTGTGAGAATTTATTAAGGGCACATCCTTCCCACCCCCTGTTTACCTTATATTTTTATAACCTATTCATTTTCTTTAACTCATTCACTGTATGCAGTAAACCAAAAGGTTCCTAGTACAGTGCCTCTTGTTTGTTTTTGTGTTCCATTTGTAGCACAAGAAAATGTTTATCATGCTTTTTCATCAAGGTTCTATTTTCCTTTGCTAGGTTTTTATTGTAGAAAATGAAAACACATATAAAAATAGAGATAATGTAATGAACACCCATGTTTCTATCACCCAGCTTCAATAATCATCAACAGATGCCTCATCTTGTTTCACTTCTCTTTCATCGATGGCTGCCCTGGATTATCCTGGTGACATTTTTTACATTTTCTTTATCACTGCTAAAGACTTCTACTAGAAGAGGGGACACCATAATATCAGCTCAGAAGGATCACCTTACCAACACAAACTATTTGAAAATGCTTCTTAATATTATTAAGTTTTGTTTTTTGACTTTTATTATACTATACAATTTATAACTTAGAATATATAATTTACAGCATCTATTTTTTAACATATATTCATTGTGTGATACTATATTTCAAGAATTGCTTTTGGGTATAAGTAGGTTCAGCAATGAATACTTGGGGATAGTCATTCATATATACATACATATATATATTTATAAATATATATATATGAATTTTCATAAAGGGCCCTATATTTGATCTTCGTTTACATAATGTAGTTATTATTTATTTATTTATTTATTTATTTTTTGGTACCAGAGATCAAACCCAGGACCTTGCACTTATGAGGCAGGTGCGGCACCACTGACCAATAACTGGCCTCAATGCAGTTATATTAGCACCATCTCATAAATGAGAAAACTTAGAATGAAGAAGTTTACTTACCAACATATAGCTAAAGAGTAGTTTATTAAATTACTATTACAAACAATACTAAAGTATACACTACTTAAAGGAATATATTTGCTGTAGTTACTTAGGAGTAATACATATTTGGGAAACAGTCTCACAAAGTGCTTTTTTTTTAAAGAGTGCCTTTTGTTAGTAGAGAACAGCTATAAAATGGGGGAACGTAAGTATATAAATTGATTCTATACATAAAAATAATCATCAAATAACATTTAGACTTGCAAGTACAAGGTCCTGAGTTCAATCCCCGATACCAGAAAAAAAAAAATTAGAAAATATTTACACGTGATATTTTACTGGGTTCCTATCTTACATTTTATAAGAGAGCAGCAACTTTTAAATAAAATCAAAAGAACTAATACAAAAACACAACTTATACCCAATAATTATCAAACATATGTGCTTTTGTGCAAGGAAGAATAAAATAAAAGTAGAATTACTGATGTTGAATTTAGGTGATTTTGATACATGCTAAAAATAAGAACTACTACAGCCATCTTAACTGATTACCTCTTGACTTTATCATAGTTCTCTTGACGGTAGTCACCTTGCCGAATTAATTGTTTTGTGTCTGCTAATTCTAAGGCCAAACGTTGACATCTAATTTGAAGTTCAGAGTAGTTCCTTCGATCTTCCTCATATGTCTACAAATCAAAGGAATAAGAAGACATTTCAAAATAAATATAGTTGACCAAATTCTGTACTTTTCTCTTAAGCTGTGAATGTCCTTATAAGTAAATTTTTAAAAATTGTCAATTTTTCTACGGTAATAATATAATTTTTCCCTAATCAAAGATAGGTAATCTTCACAAAGTGGTTTGTAAGCTCATTTATTTAAAACCTAATCAGTTTTCTAAAGAACAAATATGACAAGTATGTTTCAATTATTAGACTAGTGTTATTTATTTATTGGTACCAGGGATCAAACTTGGGACTTTGTGCTTGTGAGGCAGGCAACGGAACCACTGAGCTAAATCCCCGGCCCTAACGTTATATTTTTTAATAGCAAAACATTTACTGGTACATTTTAGGCATACACAATGATAACACTCACTGTAGGGAATTTGCACCTGGACATGATACATCCCACCTCCCTTTTCTCATTCCCTCCCTCCCCACCCTATGTACAAAAGTTCTGTTTCCATTTTTTAAAAATTTTATTTTATCCTATCCCCTCCCCTTACACCCCCTCCCCTCCCTATGTATAAAAGCCTTGTTTCTATTTTTTCCTTCTATTTTCACTTTTTCTTGTCCCTTCCTTCTTTTCTCCTTCCCGCCTCCCTTGTTCCCTTTCCCATTTGAACACTTTCTTCCCATTTTGCTATATCTATTGTACATTTTAGTCCTTATTTCTACTTTTGGTTTCTCACACCAGAGAAACAATGCAATATTTAACTAAGCATGTGTGTTCCATTTATTTCACTTAAAGAGTATGGTCTCAAGGTGCATCCATTGTACATAGTGTGTTTTGCTTTGGCTTGGTATTATGTTCCTTTCCATTGAAGTTCTCTATGAAAATGGAACATTACTCTGGTATTTACTATAGGATTATAGTTGAGTATGCTCTATTACTTCCCAAAGGATCATCATATACATCATTTCAGACATAAATCCTAAAGAAACTTTAGTTCCAATGAATAATATTTTATCTTGGCATTCTTTTTTTGTTGTTGTTTTTTTTGATTTTTGGGTTTTTTTTGGTACCAGGGATTAAACTCAGGACCTTGGCCTTGCGAGGCAGGCAGCAGCACCACTGAGCTAAATCCTTGGCCCTTTTTAATGTTTTATCTTTCTAAACACTACTAATCATGCAACTGTTCTGGAAGAGAGTATAGTCTTATGGTTAGGAGGTAAGCCCTGGAATTGTTTAGAACTAAAATACCCACATTATGACATTGGACAGGTTAGTTACTTCTCTGTACTTCAGTGTTTCCTCAGTTCTTGTAAAGATTATATCAGGTAATACATATAAAGTGATAAAAAGGCCTAACACATAGCAATGATGGTTAGTTATAAACTAATAGAGTTATAATGCTTCTTCTTTGCTTTGGGTTCCAGAAAGATCACAGCCAAATTGATAGTTTAATAAGTGCACAAAGACCATGAAAGAATCCAGAGGAACAGAACTATGAAGCATATAAACAAACACCTAAAGGATGGTAAAAGTTAAAGAGGCCAATGAACCCAAAGGAGCAATAACAGAAACACAGGGCAAGCCAGAGGTGTGCGTCAGGAACAGTGGGAATGAGCGCTGAGGAGATGAAGCAGGCATTAGTATGAGCATCACCAAGAAAACAAACAAAAGCCTGTAAGTATTCGCGGTTAGAGACAGAAGGCAGAGAGTCAGAAACTAAGGCAATATATCTGAACACTCAGTATGTCCTTGTTTTGTGCTATTTTATAAAAGTATAATCTCAACAGTTTATGACTAAGCATAAAGATTATCCTCATAGATGAGAAAACAGGCTTCAAGAGTCAAGTCTCAGACAGTGAGAAATAGGGATTCCAGTGTAAGTCTGTTGAACACCAAAACAGCAACCAACCCGTTCTATACTTTGATAGCAAAGATGGAGAAAGAGCAGTAGAGAAGCAAGCACGGTGAAAGGAGTGAGTATTAAAAGATGGTTCAACCTTGAAAATGTTCAAATACTTATGGGAAAGAGCTCACTGCCAAAGAGGGATTAATTTTGGAGAAATGAGGAATGTTCTAGAGGGGTAAGAAGCCTAAGAAGGTTTCGGGGGATGGGATCTAGAGTCCAGATGTGCAGACTAGTTTAAGAGCAGAACCAGACTTATCATACTTTCCCCCAGCTGATGCAGTATTAGAAACTTGAATTTTTTAAAAAACATATTTTCTCTCTTTCTCTCCTCTCTTTATTTTATTTATTTTTTTTGGTACCGGGGATCGAACTCAGGTCCTTGCCCTTGTGTAGCAGGCGGCGAAACCACTGAGCTAAATCCCCGGCCCAGAAACTTGAATTTTTAAGGTAGCTCTTATCAATTTGCCACAGGTCACAGCCTACTCCTTATCCAAATGCTTCCCATGTTTATAATTATCTACTTGGTTCCTAAAGGCATATGATCTTTCCACTTCTTGAGGCAGTCTTCCCACTATAAACAGTAAGAAAAAGCAAACTAACCAAAATGAGGTCAGATGTGAGTATGTTTGTAGGTTCAGTGGCAGGAAATTGCAGGAGTTCTCATTTGAGGATTTCCATTTTCTCTATGAAATAAAATACTAAGTCTAAGGACCCGAGTTCAATCCCCGGTACCAAAAAAAAAAAAATACTAAGTCATCTGCTGAGAGTGAGAAGTAAATTAGAAAGCTGGAGATGTGAGGAGTAATGGGCACCCAAAATAATCTCTTCAGAAAAGGAGAGGATAGAAAAACAGAATTACCCCACAACTTTGTGTGCCCATTGAAGGCTGGTAACATTAGACTTGTAGTGCTTGCAGTAGCTTATGTGATTTTTGACAGCAGTGTTCAGAAAAACAAGAATTGAGGTTTACTCAAGCTGGTTTGATAAGAAAGTTGGGGAGGAATTAAAGGACATTGGCAAGAGAAAGGTTTAAAACTGGTAACATGATACAGAGGAAAGAAAATAAGTTCAGGAAGGGAGTGACAGATTATATGAATTGGGAATTTTGTTAAAATGAGTTGGAAGCAGATGATTGATAAACACGAAAATACAGGTAACAGTGTATGTTTCGTGGCCCAAACTGAATTGATAACTTCAGAAGTAAATCAGCTCTGGGCAACAAGGCACAGAATGTAGGCTAAGAGACTGAGAAAGTAGAGAAGAGGCAACAGCTAGAGATGAGAAGATCAATAAATTGAAGGTCAAGGACACAGAAGTAATCCAGGCAGCAAAGGAAGTGAAAAGGAGGACTAAATCTAGAGCAAATTTCCACTATTATAAAGAAAATGTACTACTGGTTTGCAATTGAGGAAGATGATAAGGTGGAATGTCTAGATGATACAGATGTACAAAGAAGCAAGTTATTTTATTTTTACTGAGCATAGAAGTCCAAAATTGAAAAACATAAAAATCTAGAAAGAACAACAGCATTAGAGCATAAAATACTTGGGACATGAGCTCCTGGCATGTGATTTCATGGGAGACCAGATCCATGGGAGAAATGTCTGTGTATGTATAAATGTATGTGTGTACACATAAATTATATATTTTTTTCTTAAATATAGACACATGTGAGTGAGTACAAGCAGAAGTTCACTATGAGAGCATCCTTTATACCAACACATACTTTCTTTAGGACTTTTCAACTGAAAAATTTACCCTTATAAATTCCTGCACTTTGAAGACAAAACAAAATAATCTGCCTCATCTATTATTACAAACTAAAATAGAGTAAGGCATGACATTGAAAAATGGAAAAGTACTGTGTTTTCTAAAAATGAACCAAACTTTATGAGCATATGGAATTAAGGCTAAGAGGGAGTTCTCCCCTCCAGTCTTCCTTCAGCATCAACTGCCATAGGAACACGTGCTCTAAGTCTCAAAGCTGAGTAGATACCCATCTTATGTTTTCATGTAATACCTCATTTTTACCTCTGCCAGAAAATGTATCACGTGTACAATGAGCAGCCATTACTCCCATAACATAAGGAAAAAACTAAAAATTTCTCTAGTACTTAGTATTCTATTAAATAGAAGGTCTGCAATTAATGTCTGTGGAAAAGGGGATGCGAAATAGGACATTAAATAGACTAAAAAAATGCAAAAATTTTAATCTTGTCAAATATAAATGACATATAAAATTTCCAGTCACCAGCCCACTCTAATTAAAACAATTTGTACATAACAGTAAATAGGTTAGCAGCCAAATTTCAATTTCTAATTAAGAAAAAAAAAATACACAGGGAAAACAAGGACAACCCAAGGCACTGTGTTTTCAATCATTTGCTAGCTTTCTACATATAAGAAAGTGACTCTATGGTAATGTCATCTTTTCTATCTCCTAAATTACTCCTATGAGGAAATAATACAGGCTACCTCTAGCCTGAAAAGCTATCTGTTTTTTAATGGCCTGGTTTTTTTTTTACCTTGTCTATATGCCTTCCCCTCCTCTATATTTGTGTAAGACTGAGCTCCCTAAAGACCTAAGTTATCAGCCAGACAGGGTGGCACACACCTATAATACCAGTTGGTCAGAAGGCTGTAGAGGATCACAAATTCGAGGCTAGCCTGTGCAACTTAGTAAGATCCTGTTTCAAAATAAAAAATAAAAAAGGGTACAGAACGTAGCTCAGTGCTCCCCAGGGTCACTCTCCAGTAGCGCAAAAAACAAAAACAAACAAACCAAAAAACCCAAACCTGTCTTATCTTTGTATACTTAGGAATTTTAAAACAGTTTTCCCACTGGAAATGTTTGTAGCCCAAACTAATGTTATAACCCGTATGAACTACACAGTACTATCTTTTAAAATGATTCACTTAGGGTTTAGAAAATTATTTACAATTAGTTAAGTACTCAACAAATTATGAGTTTTCCTACTGAAAGATCATGATGTATCTCCAAATAAGACACCACAGCTGAAACAGTAATTCTACACAACATATGTGTAGAATTTTCTCATAAGATTTTGAGAGACAGCATCAATGAGGTTTCTGTGTCTTGATGT